CAAAATGTCAATTGGTTATATACATATATATATACATATATATATATATATGTATATATATGTAGGAGATACGGTAAACATTTGCCACAAAATGTATTTAAAAACGACAGTTAATGAATACTTTCGATGATAGACCTTTATCAAACATAAAACTGTGACATACAAGACCAGGGAGCTAATAAATATAAAAGAATTGACCAATAGGAGTTTAAACTATATATATAAAAATAGATATAAAAAAATAAAACGAAAACGGATGATTACTTATAAATAAAATTTTAAAAATAGATATTTAATAAATAGAACAAGAATTATTATGTATGTATGTATGTATGTATGTATGTATATATATATATATACATACAAGCTTTTGATGTTTAGCACTGGGATCACAAATAATTTATAAATCAAATACCGCAGATAATAATACACTGTATTATTCTCTATTTGATTTATACATTATATGTATTATATATACATATATTTATTTATTATAGGCTATAGTTCATAATAGAAACATTGCTCGAATATAGAAACAAATGATGTTATAATCGTATTAATTATACTGGAGCTGGTCAGAAAGAAACGTTCCTGAGTTATGACTTTTACAACCATCTATTCCTATGTTCTGCTATTCACCTTTCTGTTTATATTTATTTATATATATATTCATATTATACAGAAAATTTGATTGTATATACGTATGTAGGGCTAGTATTATGCATATACACATATTTCTATAGGCCTGTATGTACGTTATATCATAAATTTTGCCTAACAGCACCAGTGGCGTATCTAGAAGTTTTGATATGGGGGTGCTGATTAGGAGGGGGGAGGCGAATGTGAAGTGGGAGGGGGTGCTCGATGATCAGTTGAGGGGCACTAACTCGCAAAGTAATGTGATTTTAGGTGGGCGTGAGTAATTTTTGTAGGGGCGTGCGCCGCCCACACTCCCCCACCACCCCTAAATACTCCACTGAGCAGCACGGTAAATATAAGTCTATATATGTAAAAAGATTGGTAAATGGTTGTTATCATATCCTAATTATTGGATTATATGATAACAAATTAACAATTAAGATCACCTGGAGTTATTATTTTATACTACCGGTAATTACTTAACAGTGGCTCAAAAGAACATCCCCTGTTGTAGCAGCACAAGTACAATAAGTAGAATAAAATGACATACACTCAAAATCGCCAGATGGAAGTCCCTATTATATAATTCTATTGCAGACAATGGATTAGAAATGTGCTCTGTAGTAGGAAAGATCCTTACTCAGTGCCCAGCGAGATATGAGTGGAGATAGTCGAGAGAGTTGGCCTCTCCGTTGAAATGTATTGTGTATTTGATCGATGGTTGTGTTTGAATAAAGTATACTACAGCTATTTCAATAGATAAATACAGTGTTCGAATAAAAGACATGATACATCGTGTAGCATATCTCTCAACGATTGTTGTCCTATATATAAATACATAGAAATGCCTCTGACAGGATTCGAACCTGCGATCTCTCTTGTCAAGACGAGTGTTATAACCATTAGGCTACAGAAGCTTCATGGTTGAACAGATTCAAATAAACGCCAGGTCACACAATGAAAGGGCGTTAAACCATATAAATCTGGAGGTACGGCTGGAAATAAACAATAACATAATATAAATCAAGATATATATATATATATATATATATATAATATAAAATAACAATAATAATAATAATAATAAATAATTAATAATACTTCAATAATACTTCAATAGGCCTATTTACGATAGTGTAATTAATGAGATAATTGTTGATTATCTCAATTGATATAGAAATATAATAGGTAGGCCTATATACCATTAATAATGATTCAGCATATTAAATCAACAATACGTCGTAAATGTAAAATTTGTTTGGTTTTTTTTTCAATAAAATTTTACCTATTTTATTC